GTTTGGGGCAGTTTTGGTGCCGTTCCCGGCTCACCTTGAAGGGCACCTCGGTGGTCATGGTGAAGCCGTGGGTGACCAGCGGCTCCTCGTCAGGCGGCCGGCCCTGCCAACAGTCGAGCTCCACGCAGCGACAGCCGCTCAGCAGAACCTGCCGGTACATCTCGGCCGACGACAGCCCCGTCAGCTGTCCCGCTGAGACAACAGCCGTCAGAGCCGGGAGACACCCGGAGACCACCCCAAAAACAGCATTTCCAACCCAAAAACAGCATCTTCACCCTAAAAACAGCATCTTCACCCCAAAAACAGCATCTTCACCCCAAAAACAGCATCTTCACCCTAAAAACAACATCTCCAACCCAAAAACAACATCTTCACCCCAAAAACAACATCTTCACCCCAAAAACAGCATCTTCACCCTAAAAACAACATCTCCAACCCAAAAACAACATCTTTACCCTAAAAACACCATCTTCACCCCAAAAACAACATCTTCACCCCAAAAACAGCATCTTCACCCTAAAAACACCATCTTCACCCCAAAACCCCAGCCCCGCACCCCAAAACCTGTCAGCAGCGGGGTTTTGGGGTGTTTGGGGGTGTTTGGGGTGCAGTTTTGGGGTAATTTGGGGTGTTTGGGGGTATTTGGAGGTGTTTGGGTACAGTTCTGGGGTGTTTGGGTGTAGTTTTGGGTGCAGTTTTGGGGTAATTTGGGGTGTTTTGGGGTGCAGTTTTGGGGTGCAGTTTTGGGGTGCAGTTTTGGGGTAATTTGGGGTGTTTTGGGGTGCAGTTTTGGGGTGTTTTGGGGTGTTTTGGGGTGCAGTTTTGGGGTGCTTTTGGGTGTTTTGGGGTGCAGTTTTGGGGTGCAGTTTTGGGGTAATTTGGGGTGTTTTGGGGTGCAGTTTTGGGGTGTTTTGGGGTGTTTTGGGGTGCAGTTTTGGGGTGTTTTAGGGTGCAGTTTTGGGGTGTTTTGGGGTGTTTTGGGTACTTGTCAGGTAGGTGTTGTGCGAGGAGTTTGGGATGCAGTTTTGGGGTGTTTTGGGCTGTGATTTTGGGGTGTTTTGGGGTGTTTTGGGTGTTTCAGGTACCTGTCAGGTAGGTGTTGTGCGAGGAGTTGATGAAGTAGCTGCTCAGGGGCTGGCTCATGTCCTGGTGCAGCTGCAGCGTCTCGGGGGGGACGATCCCGTTCTCGTCCCCACCCAGGTACCGGCAGAAACCCTCCAGGGACAGCTGGCCTGGCCCCAAAAACCCCCCAAATCACCCCAAAATCACCCCAAAATCATCCCAAAATCA